CCCACATATTCATGATTTTCATAAAAATGAAAATAGGTATCCTTTATATGAGAATCACATACAAAAGATACCTATTTCAAATTATTACCATTGCGGTGTTCTTACCTTTACGGTGTGGCGCACTCACTAATGGGAGGTAGTGAGATGCGCTTGGCACGGTTACTGTCAAGGAATAAATGGGCAGATGGAGGGGTGGATGGACATGGAGGTAGCAAGCAAGTGAAAGCGGAAATTTTCGTCTCCACAGGTATGAACGAAGGAAGGGGTGGACAGAAAGGCCCTCTGACGTCGTAGCATGAAAGCAGCGAAGGATGCCTGAAAAATTACCAGCAAAACAGGGTTTTATTTTTGTCGTTCCTGTAAGTGGGGCTCTGTGGTGAAAGCATCAACTGGGGCCGATAATGGTTGCAAGAGAAAAGTAGAGGGGCTTCTGAGGACGAAGAGAATTTTGTCAATAAGCGAAGCCACATGTGGAGTTATAAGGGATATTTCCACTCATGTAGACTGCTCTTTCTGAGAGTTCAGTGCGAGTGAATTAAAAGTTACAGTCTCGATATCTGGGGGCTGTTCCCATTTGGTCCAATATTTCCTTCCACCTCCATCAGGTGTCAGTTATATTTATGCATGAGCATTGTCAACAATATGCAAGTAAGCATGGAAGTTGTTGGTACCTGTCAGATCGGTCTCGACAGAAGCTATTTTGCATCGATATCAGCATTACATGTAACCTTAGAAGATGATGGAGGTAGATAGAGTGCATGAAGAGACTTGTTTGTTCATGCATCACACGAGCATGGGCTCAGGCTTCCAGACATCGTTTACAGGGTTCTATCAAAAAGAGTCCGTAGTCGACATATTCCTGCAAATACAGCTGGATCCGTTCACGATAATTCTGTGGACGTGCTTCAACTATCGGTAACAGTAACTTCTATGTGGGCCGTATCATATGGTCTTATCCAGAGGATGCATCCATGGCCTTACCTTTTCAAGATCATCGGACAATAGAGTTGGTGAGGCTGATGGGTCATATTCGGAGAAGATCATGAGCGACATGCAAGGTGAATGAGGCAAGTTCCTTTGGGGATGGGAGATATGCATGAGCAAACTTATTACTTTGTCGATCTCTAACCTGGACACAACATTAAGGGGTCCTCAGGAGGGAACATTCCGAGAACAGCCGGGGTCTTAATGGAGAAGGTTGAGCGAAGGAAGGCTTGTCAATCACTGAGTGCTTCAAGCTTGGTTGAGAAAAAGAACCTGCCAGGCTTGAAAGTCAGATAGATCTACACTGCGTAGTCGAGATTGAACGCTGTGGTTTAGTCAGCCTCTTGCCGCATCGCTCTGTTATGAGACTCTAGAAAGAAGTATGCATTCATGCTGTTGCTTGAACCCTGCACATTCCAGACGACACTCTAAGAAGCCTGAGTATCAGTTGTTTTTGTATTGCTGCTCCAACACGGCAGGGGCAGGAGTTGCGGAGCCTCTACAGGTATGTCGTGAGCAAATTAGTGGAGTGGAGGTGTGCCCATGTCTGCGATGCCGTGTGTTAAGCCAGTTTTGAAGTAAACATTCAAAAATTACTGCGTACACCGCCTTTGGGGAGGGGAAAGAGAAAAGAAACGAAAGGAAAAAGAAAGCAAAATGAGCCTGGGAACAAGCAGTCGTTGGCTTTGGCACATGTCCTCTGATGCGGCGAAAGTTTGATGTGGAAGACACATGTCTCGTGCTGCTTGCAGGCTTGTCACCCTTCTTCTTGGTCATGTTGAATGCTAGTGAGTGAGTAGCTAGGCGCTATCTGACCAGAGTATGGCCCCTAGTCAGAGCCATGTAAGTGGTGGTGGGGGTTGAATCATCCCTCATCATCGACCGAATTTTTATGAAAATCACTCGCTTGAGACAAAGAATCCTTGTCCCTCACTCTGACCCAGAAAATTGGTGGCATTGAGACAAAGGCATTTACGGCAGCGGACTGGGTGAAAACCATGTCCATGGAAAACCCTTGACAATGTTGCGATGACCGATTACGAAAAATCATGGATTTCCGTCGGCTGGTCGTGATGTTTATCCTGGCCAAACAAAATGTGTGCGCAGTAGGCCGTATTTCCTCTCTTGGCCCTCAGGCGTTGTCTATGTGTGGAAGTGGAGTTGCATAAAATATGTCCATCGCGGTCCAATTTTACAGTGCCCATGTTTTGAAGGGATTTTCGTAACGTGGTTTCTTTTTCATCCTCACAGTCCACACCGAATCAAATGAATTGGCTCGCCAAACCCAAGGTATCGTGATAATGGCTGGGGATGCTCTTCCCATCACGACATTTCGTGCATCACAACCGAGAATTATTGAAGTAGTGGCGTCGCAAACATCTACCATTTACACAGGATGTGACCGTTTTCAGTTCATGAAATAAGTCGGATTTTTCTGTTGAAAATCTTGCCGCCTAGAAGTCTGGTGGACCATGAATGCGTATGCAAGTTGCGCACGCTCGGAAAACTCACATTTCGAGTGCTGGACCGCTGGACTGGGTCATGGGCCTATCGCTTCAACGCATAAAAGGTAAAAGTCGAGAACTCTGGTTTTCAGCACGGTGCTTCCAAAGTATCTTCCGTAATAAATGTGGAGCACACAGTGGTTCGGTAACCGCTCGATGTGACGAAGACCAAGAAAAATACGGCCCATGCGGCCCATTTCAATATGCAAAGCTAATAAGGTTGGGCTGGGATACCAGCTTCCAACTTCGGCCAAGGTTGCAAAGATTTTGATCAGGTTTGGGTGGGTTAACTCGGATGATAGTAGTTGTAACTTGCGGGTTTCCCGTCTCACCTTTCTGGCGGACATCATCTGTGATAGGACAAAGAACAATTTTCGAGCTCCATTGAGGGAACTGTTGCCATCAGGTGGGAATCGTTAGTTACCGACGGCACGTCCTCTGGATTTTTGATTTTGGGGGTTTAGATTGGTTCATCCCCACTCCTACCAGCATGGCACTGGGTGATCAAGCTCTTTTGTCCCAGTGGCCTAACATTTGAGCCTTGTGACAACAGTATTGTTGTGAGCCAATAATAATGAAGTTGGTGCTGACATCTGGTCGATTAGTCTTGTTTGAAGTCTGAAACTCTTGAAATTTGTGATTGGCTCCGCTCGCTATTCTCATTACTACTGGGCAGAGCCAATTTCTCACGAGGGAGGAAAATGGACTGTGCGCCGGTGATGCCGCTGATTGATCTAGAAGTCTGTGTTGGGGGAATTGGATTGGATGGTTCAACCCCCTGTCGGTTGGCGCTGGTGGGAAACTGAGCGCTTTTGCCCCAGGAGCCTTGAGGCTGGGAATTTTTGCGTTTAGCGCGTTAGATACTCCCTCAATTAACATATCAACATGACACATGCAATCTCACACTCCTCCTCATCACCCTCAATCTTCATCAACCTGCTTAATTTGGAAATGAGCATTTGGTGTGTGGTTCAAAAATTCATCCCTTGGCTAGCACTCACGGGGATCAGATGAAAAACAAAAAACTAGGAGCAAAGAGCGACAACTGGTCGTATAGATAATACTATGGAGGAACGATTGCCGAAGGTGCCCACTCATGTTGATCAGTTGTAATTATTAATTAGAGGCAGCCAAGTCCTCGACACATTCGGATTCCACTTCAGCTCATCCTGGTGCGCAATAATGGCACCAAACACTGTAGGTGGAGGATTGGCGGTGCCAGCCTCATCGAGTCATAATTTCCATGGCCAACATTTGGATTTGGCAATGCTGCTTGATGCGCCCACCAAGCCCAATTTGAGGGTTACATGTTACCAAAGTAGGGTCAAGGCTGATTTACGGACACGTCCCAGAATTGAGCTCCTTGTTTGCATGATGGAGGTTGCTTGTTTACCTGTCTCAAGAATTCAAATCCGGGGCTGTTGTGAGGAGACTCCGGCAAAACCCAGTTTGATTGACCAGTCCAAGCGGAGTCTGTGGCGTGTCGATACGCCTATCGAAAGGTTCCGGACTGAAGTAAAACAGTGGATCGTTTTTAGGTCCAGATCTGGACAAGGTTAGGCAGGACTGGATAATCGTCATGATTCCCATAAAACAATCAATTCGGCTGCCAATCAGTACCCTTCTGGTGGTCCCATCACAGCAATGGATGCAAATGATATAAATAGTGCATAAATTCAGGTTGGATTTCTAATGGTCCTGCTGATGAGTCATGATACTGCAGCAAACCCAAGGGCCAAGGGTTTCTACACATTATTACCATGACATGTCGAGCTTCCTGGACCCCAGCTGTCCAAAAAAAAGAAAAGAATAATCATAATAATTTTCAAATCACAAGCTGAAAGTCGGTCTCCATCCGTTTGACAATACATTCCTAAACCGTACTTGCCATGATTGGCGACATGCTTCGGGGACGCTCCAGGAAAGGCTTTTCAAAATGGCTTGAGATGATCCACCAGCGTAGGCGAATTTTTTCTTCAGCCTGCGATGAGGACAAGAACCTTTCATACCACGAGTACATCACAAGTTGCCCTTCTTGGCAACTAGGCTCGAACTGCAGATTGGGAAATTCCAGTGCCCACCATTACTGGCCAATGGCTGGGTGCTGGTAACCGTGGTACATGAACAGACAAACGGCGATGAATTGCGCCGAAAGGAGGGGACAAAATGTATTTTATTTTGTTATACGCAGTAATTGGGCGACTTGCTGACTCCGGAGCGCTCCGCAGCGCTCCGCAGCGCCCGAGCTCATACCGAAAGAATACCTTCCGACTGGGCTTCCCTGGTCGAGACGAAAACCCCTGAATATCGGTTGCAACTGGCTGTTCTTCTTAGCAACGTTTGGCAAACCTCTAGTTTACTGCGTTAAGGGCTCCAGCCACCGCATCGCCAAAATGTGCCAGTGGCGGGTGGCCAACAGAATCCTATTCTCTAGTATTTACGGTGGGGATTCCTGCTGTGGAGCGGTGGAACGAAACCTTTGCACATGACACAAATTTCAAGGAACAAATAATGTAACAGGAGGCTGCAATGTTGGGCTGGTTGGAGCTTATGATCGGGCATTATATTGGTGTGATCAACTGAGTTCTAGGTATAATGACAGTGTTCGGCCCTAAATCGCCCCTAAATTATAATCCCCATAAAGTATCACTTTACCACTAATCCATCAGCCTAGGTGCAATTAATGGTTCCATCAACGGACCATCGTACCGTAATTGTCACGAAACTTGCCTTGGATTCTTGCTGTTCCAGAAATAGACCCACCCAAGAGGTCCTTCGTAGTTCGCCCACAACTCTCTCAACTCTCTCACCGTTCTTATGGAGTCATAGATTCATTGATGGAGCATCACTCGAGTTCAAACCTTGATCTTGATCAGTTCCGGCATATCTGAGGATTCGCTGCGAGCCGGTTTGCGAAGACTTGAATCTGATGAAGAGCCAGTCTAGTTGGAGATTGTTTGTCTTTGATCAATGAGTACTGTAATCAGTTATCGCCATGCGAGGTTTGCATAATTTCCCTGAAAAACTTCGTTGCTTAGGGCTCTCTTGACCGCCACGACTCACCCCTTGAATCCAGAACAGGGTTTGATCGATGATATTCTTTTATAGGGCCACATCTTCCGTGCCATTTTAAGACCATGTGCGGCCCCTATCATGAAGCCAAAAGAGATCAGCCAAAACCTTCTGGTCGATTGGAAGTTTGTAACGAAGCGTTATCTTTGCGTAGAAAGTCTGTATCTCTCATATCGCTCCGCATTAGCTCTATTATTGGTTGCTTTTTGGTTTTTTTTATGTTTTTCTTTTTTCTTTCCCCCCACTGTTGCCGCATTCCTTGTGACTTCACGGGCCAGTAGTGGGGACAGGTTCGAATATCCAACATGTTGAATCAAACAGTAGAAAGCTGTGGCACAGGTTTGGTAACATGCTGCTGAGCACCGAGGAACCAAAGAGAGATGCACCGTAATCTGGGTGAATGACACCGTGAGTTTCGAGCAGATGATTATGTGCTCGATTCAGGCGAGCCATTCCTTGGTTCCTTCCCTAGTTAGCAAGCCGAGGTGTTCGTTGGAGTAAGCCAACCGCATTTCTCAATTGTCTAGTTACCTAGTGCGGAGTTCCCCGTATTACTTGTGTTGGATGTTTTGGAAACCCTAACACAGACATTATTTTTTTGTTCTTTTGCAATGGCTGCTCCACTCTTGAATTCCGAGACCAGTAACGAAATACGGAAAGGTACTGTGCAAGAGGCTAAATCCGCATGCCACAATGGCATCATGTATGTATGATGTCTGCAAACACGGAACATTTCTGGCGCGTCAACCACCCCTGTTCCATTACCAGGGCCCATCGACTCAAGTAAGTTTTAGTGGCTCCGAATGCAGCATCCAAGTTCTGCGCGGAATGCTTACAAGGAAGACGTGGGTGATGGCTTGTGGCCCCAGACCACTTCTCGCTAATCCATTGAATTGATATTCAGGGTACCCCAAACGCGAAACTTCGTGTGCTCGGCTGCTAAATAATACCACCTTCGCTTTTGTTTTTTGTCTCCTGAACCTTTTTTTTGCGGATTTGACTATCTTGGGACCGACTACCAACAGCTCGGCTGTTTTAGACCCATCACCTTCATGTCATTTCCCCTGCTTCCAAGGGCCTTGCCCTACCATGGCGGATGTCGGGGTTCTGACGACACTATCCTCAAACCGCCCAGATCTCTGGTATCAGAAACGGACCATTTATTCACTTCCTTATATTATTTGACATGAGAATTCCATCTGTAAACTTGCACAGCTAGTGGTTTTCGATTCACCTCCTAGGCTGGTTCCCCATTACATGTGCATTTCTCGAACCCCGAAATCACGGCTTACATACTGACCTTGTAGCCTTTTAATATTCAACTTTATCCCACATATTTTCTTTCGTCCATTCTTTCAAGTTGAAATTAAATTTCTAATGAATGATAGTCTTTCACCATGGCTGATAACTGTTGGTACCGGCCCTCGTTTGTGGGCTCAGCGAGTAATGTCCCATTCTTCACTACCTTCCAGGGTGACCCAACTTCACAACGACGAATTCACCATCGCATAGTTAAAACTACAAGTGCTGATAATAGCCCTAGCCGGATTGGAAAGCGAGATATGATGTTCAACCGTTGTCATGGGCAGCGTCGTGTTGTTCGAAATAGTATGCGCGAACTGTCTTTCCATTCTGCTCTACTGCGGGCCGTCCCAAGGGAAAGCCCAGCAAGTTCGTTACCTTCTCCGACGCGTTCAAATGTTACATATCCCAATATTCGACCACCGTCCACATGCCAGGATGGAACATATGAGCACAAGGAAATGCTTATGTCGCCTGCATATATGAACAACAATGGTTTATACACTCAAGAATACGCCACGAATCACTATGGCTGTCCAACACATCCTCAAATGGAATTCCCGCACTATCAACTGGATATTTCTCATCGCAACTCTATCTATATCATGGAATCGCTCTCTTCAGACCCGCCTACAACAAACTACTTACTCTCTTCAACTTGCTACAGTATGCCGTTGGCAAATGATATGGCGAGTATCTCGACAGCTCCAACCGCTCTCTCGACACCGGACAATCCTCCTACCCACAACCATGATAGTGAACCTGAAACTCCGCCCCTAGTTCCGGATAGGGATGAACCTGGCGAAGAACTCGTCGGTGTGGGATTATACGATAAGCCTGAAGAACTACCTCAGTGGGATTATTCAATGGACAATTATTTGAGACTGGGAAACGACACAGATTCTCGAATATCGCTAAAAACCTCTGGGGGCAAGGGACTGAAATTGGAGGAAACGTTTGACCCTGATGCCGTTGAGTCTTCGCAAGATGACGACAGCGATGACGAAGAGAGCCGAGATAAATCCGACATGGCGAACGACCAAGGAAATGGTGATGACGATGACTGCATCCGAAGAAGAGCAAGCCAAGAGCAGGATGAAATATCAACGCCAGAGGATCCCAAGCTCCAGGTTGAGCAGAAAATGCAACCATTCTACAGCCCCTTTGAAACGTCTTCTTACCTTCAACAAAATGAGCCGTGGATTTTTTCTTCTCAACAACATGACCCAGAGAATAGCCCTGTCTATCATCTAGATATGGCCGGCAAGTCGTTTTACTTCCAAGATGAGCAGAACTCAGATTTCGTAATTACAAAATCGAACCAACAGTCCATGACTTTCCCCTCTCATTTGTTTGGAGCGTCTTACACTGGTTCTGTGTATGGCTGAATTGGCGGAAGAAAATTTTAGATCCTTGTGTCTTCTTGAATCTATTTTATTTTCTAGGCGTGGTGTTATTTTTGAGCGTCATTTTGCATAGCGTGGACAAAGCGTATCATTCTGCTAGAACTTTTTGAACCTTAAAATGGAATCGTGCAACATTAGCCCTCGAGTGCTCGTTTAGCGCTCGATTTTTAGAATGTAGAGAATACATTGTTTTGAGCAACTGTGTGCATCGTTAATCATTCAGCATTTTGACATTATGAAAATGTAGCAATCTCATTTACTCTCTACGCTGATTGGCTCCACTGCCAAACAAGCATTTAGGCTCACTTTAGTTCAAACTCTAATTTCGCCTCATTTGCAAACCTTCGCATCACGCGTCACGAAGATTTCAGCAAGCACCGATAAATATACAGTCACAACCAATGTTACTGTTTTAACGACTGGTGAACAAAGGGGCAAGTTAGCTCTGTTTTTGGCTTATCTACAGTGGGTTCATCTTACGTGGCTAATTCCTATTTGTTCCGCTATGATTTCAGACTAGTAACGTCTGATAGTCATCGATGGGAATTTAGGTTGATTGCGCCTTTTGGGATACCATTCTTCTTTTTGAATCTACCAAGAACCCATGAACAACTTGTTGTGACTTACTCATCTTAGCCCGGCACCCTACACCCTACGAGCATCCAGTTTCTTCTTCCTGGCACCAAAATACTATCCAAGACCCGTCCGAACCGATTACAGTTTCACGGACAAAATTACTTTTCTCAACCGTTCCATTCGTCCCACATACCCGCGGGTTTGCTTTATTTGCGTACCTTTTCTTTTGCGCCTAGTCTTCTGTCAAACGGTGCCGTAAACCAACATGCCTCAACTTCAGTTTACTCCATGGAAAGAGCTGTCTGAACTATTATCCGTCCGCAGCAAATTTTACCCCTCGATGACCACAGATGGGGAACCTGCAGATATGCGTGCAAGAGCATGCTCGACAGTATGTGTATAATTTCAAATGCAAATTGATTTGTTTTCCCTCTAATTTTCCTCCAATGTTAACCTCCGGCCCCCTACGTTCCTCCACCAGGTCTGGGTTTGGAAATTGCGCGGGAACCTGCCGCATGCAGTAGAGGCGACCGCATTATTAACTGATGCTATACTACATGATGATGATGCAAGAAAGCATTCTATCTTTTCCATTCGAGCAACTTACTCAGCAGCTTTTTGCAGGTAAGATGGCTATCGCTTTCCATTCCCTTTAAAACTTTGTTTTGGTCTCAGCAAACGAACAAACGAACAATATATATATGTGTGTATATATATCTATATTAACTCTCAGCGATTCCCTTCTTGGCAATTTAGCCGTTTGCCCCCACAAGTTCACGGGTTACTTACTTACTCTTTGCAACGCAGATTTGTAACCGGACTAGTTGACTCGAAGTTGTACGGGAGGAAACAGACTATGTTCCAAAGGGCAATGGAACTCGGCCTACCAGCTTCATTTGTGGAACTGCGCCACGAGGCAACACATAGGGAGTTACCCGCTCTTACTGTACTTCGAAATGCAGCCCACCGGTCCCTGGATTGGCTTTGGGAATTTTATTGGGCCGGGTTAGGGGATATCGAGGTTGCCGATGCGGGCATGGACGTTCAAGAGCCAAATGGCGTATTTCCATTCACGAAAAATGAAGTCCAAAGGACATTGAAAAATGCGGTCCTTGGCGAGAACAGCCTGAGTGAAAGCTATGCGACAAGACGTTCCCGAAAATCGGAATCGTTTCCGGGCTTAAAAAATGTCGCTCTGATTTGCAGATTTCGGCAGGGAGAACTGACTGTCTCCAAAACGCTTTTGGAGCACGGTGTTTTGGTTCCAATTGGCAGAATGTCAGTGTATTAACACCCTCATGGAAAAGAAGCCGTCTTTGCTAATTCTTATTCCAGTCTTGGAAGTTCCATGGAAAGTGCATTCTCGACGTGGGATGCATTTTTAAAGGAGCTATGTCGACAGCAGACAACATTTCTAACCACACTAAGCGATGAGTTAGTTCGTGTCCTTGCCGATAAGGATAACACTGCTATGGAGGAAGACCCATATAACGAGGCGATTTATTTATGGTTGGACCACCTCTTAAACTCGAGTACGTGGGCTACGCCCAGGAGACTGTACCTCTCAACATGTCACCTTGACGCAGCCTGTCACAATGCTACCGGGTATTGGGCCCGCCATCTCAGATCTTTGATTAACCAATATTCACATAAACTGGATATAAACACGCCCAAGATAGGCAACGGGTATGGTGCCTCAGAGTTTGACACGGATGTTAGGGCAGTCGCACCAGACCTTGAGGACCCTGCAGAGGTGGACGCGGACTCGGACTCGAACTTGCTGCGGAATTACGGATGGGATGTAAACAGAAACTGGAAGTACAAACCAATAGGTGTTGTTTAGAAAACGTACATAATGTACCAGTATCCATCATTAGGATCCTGTGATACTACACAGTATGCATATGAACCTTACTCCCCAGGACACTGGTCAAACCAAGCGGTTGGTTGGGATGTTCGAAGGCCAATGCTACAGAAAATTTCAATCTTCCTAGGTGGAAAATTTTTCGTCGGTGAGCTCACCATACGACTTACAACACCATGGTATTTAATGTACAAATGTAGTAATAATATAGGCGATAAAAAATTGCATGCAATGCAGAATAGGGGCTTGTTGGTTCGGGCAAGAATAGCCCCGGATCGGGTTAACGTAATTCCTCCTCCATCATTCCCTCACAATTACCAATGTTTAGAAGTAACTGCATCAATAACAAGTCTCCCACATCACACCGAATGGGATAGGGAGCCCAACAACTCATGATTGCAGGCAGGACTTTCAGTCGGTTGGCAACACCCGGTATATCGGTATTCAAACGCAAAATGCATATCGAATCTATTCCCATGTGTAAGTTCAGCCCGAAACTCTCTCTTGCTGCTGCTCATAGACCAAAAGAGCTAAAGTATATATAAACCAACAGGGACGGGAACGGGCAATAATTATGCCTATCTAATATCCGATGAAGTATCAAAGGATGCGATGATCGTGGACCCTGCACATCCTCCAGAGTATGCGACTTTCCTTGACGCCTGGAAAGAAGCTTTTTCGCTCATCAAGCACTGACCAATTTCCATTGCATAGGGTCATTCCTACTCTTCAATCCCATATTGATAGCGGCAAAATCAATCTCAAAGCAATTATAAATACGCATCAGTCAGTAATCCAAATCCTTCCCCCTTAATAATGCGGACCTTCAAGTAAACTAAACTCTCTCCAGTCACCCTGACCATGCCGGTGGCAATGCGAGGATTGTGCGTTTCATTCGACGTTAATGGCAAGCATGATAAATTTTGTATATATTCTGCTAAAGTGCTTACTCTTCTCTGCGTATACAGCTCGAGCAATTCGGCAAGCTGCCCATCATTGGGGGCAGAGATTGCTTGTCCGTCACCAAGACTCCCAAACACGGGGAAACGTTCAAAATAGGAGAACGCGTTCAAGTGACTGCTCTGCATACGCCATGTCACACCCAGGATAGCATCTGCTATTTTGCGGAAGACGGTGACCAACGAGTTGTATTTACAGGAGATACGCTTTTCATTGGAGGTATGTGACTACGACGCTAGTCTAATATTTGTTGTTTCGAATAGAGTGCAGACCAGATACATCTTGACAACGGCCCAACCGATATCGAGTGGATGTATTCTAAAACTAATAGAACAATACCCTGACAGGATGCGGCCGATTCTTTGAGGGAACTGCTGAGCAAATGAATAATGCACTGAATCATATTCTTGCTGGGCTTCCAGACGATACTAAGGTCTATGTATGTTCATCCCATTATTTTTAAGTCAAAGTAAGCTATAAGGAAGCATAGGAGTGACTTACCTACGCTTTTGCAGCCCGGCCATGAATACACAAAGCAGAACGTGGAATTCTGCCTCGAAATATCTCAATCAGAACCAATCAAAAAGCTACAAGCGTTCGTAGAGAAACATAAGGAAACCCAGGGTAAATTCAACATCGGCGATGAGAAGGTACGGAATGTCTCCTCCCTTGGGTTTTTGTTTTAACTTCCTTGAATGCGTCTCTCGCAACCACACTATATTCGTCCTTCACGAACTGGTAAAACCCCGAGGGAAACCCAACTAATTGCGTCTCTCTGGCCAACAGCTACATAATGTATTCATGAGGCTCAACGTAAGCCAACCCCGCCCATCTATTCCTCATCCTATTTATGGGGAAGTGCCCATCCTGTCGCTATTTGCGTAACTAACTCTCACAAAGGATCCGGAAATCCAAAAAGCTACGAAGAAAACTAATCCGGTCGATGTTATGCATGCGCTGCGGGAGATGAAAAATAATATGCCATCAAAGCCAGCGGTTCAAAAAATATAGCTGGTGGCGATCGTGGACTTGAACATTCTTGACAGACCGTTCACGTCTTTGCTTTTCCTGTAATTACATCGGTATATATTGGAATGGTGAAGTACAGTACATATATTACGCTGGACAGGGTAATCTATACTTTTCGAGTTATTATACTGAATATTCAGATCTTGATTTAATCTGCCTGCCAATCCGCCACCCCGCGTAGTCAGTTGAGTATTCTATTCCTCCACCTGCCCGTGCCGCCTTCCTTCTCTATACTCATTGCCACCTTCTAACTCTATAATCTTTTGAATATGTACAGGAATCCGCTCAATCCATGCCTGTATCTTCTCCTGTGGCAGATCCTTCCATGCCTGCTCCCATACTCTAACTGCTTCTGTGTGATTCTTAGGAGCTCCCTTTTTCATCGTTCTGCGCTTCATCCAAGGCCAAGCTGCTTCAATTGCATTGAGATCCGGCGAATTACCACACCAAAGCAACTGTTGAATGCCATGAATGTTGTACATATAACATTGAATATAGTGATCATGAGATGGGGCTTTATCCTCCTGCACAATGGTATTCAGACGATCAATTTGACACTCTTTTGCAAAGGGGAAAAGCTTTGGTAAGAGGATTTGAACTTGATAGCAATACCAATCAATTCCACTACCTTTTCCGCGAGATAGCTTGCCTGTGGCTTTTTTGAACTTCCATATTGGTTTTTGACCTGGCTGCTGACAATCAATCTGTAGTCTTTGTATGCCATTTGAGAGCTCCCATTCTTGCTTCTTTATAGGTTCTATCTTCATGTTTAAAGTCTCAATATACTCAAGGGATTGAGCACGCTCCTGCAAGGTTTCCCTGCTCCAACAGTGTAATGGACCCTTCTTGTCATATGAGAAGCAGGCCCAGAACATGAATTCAGAGGATCCCTTCCATCATTCACATATACAGCTTCGAGAATACACCTCATGAGGCGCACGCCATATTCTATATCCACCTCATCGATGAAGAAGAATAACAGAGGTTTCATCTGACCATATGACATTCTTCCAATCCTCCAAGGTTCAATCCTTATGCTCCAGGCAGAATTGAAGTCGATCTAACCGCATCTTCTTAGTGAGTCCTGGCTTCCATGTAGGCTTTGTTTTTCGAAGGCCTGCTTTGCGAAGAATCCTCCATATAGTCATAGAAGATATCTCAATTCCTTCATTACTGAATTCATTGGCAAGATCAGTACAGCTCTTTTCTCGTCCATAGCGATCATGTTGAACCTTTGCAAGAATAGCATCCTTAATGCTATCATTTCCCTGAGTTGGTCGGCCGGATTTGGAGGCATCTCTAAGCCATTCATCGCGAAGTATAATATGAGGCAGTTCAGGGTTAAATCCACGTTCAATTGTGTGTTTATATATACAGTTGATTTGACTCTTTGAGATCTGGGTGATTTCCGTGATTTCAGCATTTGGCTTGCCAAAATAAGGTGATTTAAGAGCCACCACAAGAGCTCTTGTGGCAATATCGGTATTGGGTGCCATATATTTTAACAGTCATGAATTGTCAGATGGGATGCCAGAGATGAGAAATTAGAGAAGAGAGAGGAATCCATTCTTAATACGTGGCAATCTCATATAAATAGAATGCGGGGTGATTTGAAGCTAAATGTTATTACTCATTAAGACGTGGTGGCGCTTCTTGGCGGTATAAATGGAATCTGAGCGGCGCAATTCTTTGATAGCGCCCTCCGTAGACATGGAAGAATCACAACACCTTAGGATCCCACACTATACTGAATCCATCTAGACTATATACATAGTGTTGAACATTGCTCCACCCTGCAGTGGCAGTTACCAATAGAAATGAGATAAGAAAGGGTACCCCCAATATCCACCAAGATGTGATAATATCCTTTTGGAGAGGGTGGGATTCGAACCCACTACCTTCTTGTCTCAGCAGAGGTGGCCCCAACACCAAGTGCCTACTTGAGAAAGCATTCCATGAACAGCGCTTACCACTACGCCATCCACCCCCCTGAAAAGTAGTAGCAAAACACCACAAAAATAACCAAAATATCAATGTATCTCTAGAATCATTCAAATATCATTCAATTTATTCAAAATATGCATCTTTATCATCAAATACACACCTTTATCATCAAATCTGTCAAAATGCCCTGCAACACCCATCATTCTACTGTTTCACAATCTTGTAAAAGAACTTCAATTACTCTACATCTTTATCTGTTCAAACCATCTGTTTCAGATGTTCTGGATAATGATGAGAATCCAGTTGATGATGAGAAGAAAGAGAAGAAAAAGAAGAAGAAGAAGAAGAAGAAGAAGAAGAAGAAGAAGAAGAATGAGAAGAAGAAAGAGAAGAAAAAGAAGAAGAAGAAGAAGAAGAAAAAGAAGAAGAAGAAGAAGAATGAGAAGAAGAAAAAAAATGAGAAGAAGAAGAAGAATGAGAAGAAGAAGAAGAATGAAAATGTAATACATTCATTTATTGTTTTTTTATTATATTATATTTGCTTATTCTTACCTCTTTCCATTATGTTCTCACTACTGCTATGTTTATATGTATATATATATGAATGTATGTATTTTGCACATTTTCTTTTCCCTTTCTTTTCCTTCTTAGTATGTATATATGTATGTATAGGTTTAACGTCCCGGAGAAAACACGGGCAGCGCCCGTGTTTCAGAAGCCTCCCGAAGGGCATGGCAAAGATATTATGTTGTAAGCATATGTGGAGTAATTGATTAGTTCAGATGTTAGCAGGACTTGGCAGAAGTTTAAAGAAGTTTAATTGATTGTGCTAATCTGAAAATATCAAGAAAAAAAAAAACTGAGCATGCTGAGATAACTCTTATATATGATTCGCCATGCATTGCTGCTCAAGAGTCATCTGATCACAAAATTTAATGAGAAAGAGACATGTGATTCAACATGTGAAGCAGACTAAGTATTTTGCAAAGATCACTCATTTTTTTTTATAATGTTACAAATCTTTTCTTTTTCTCTGCCTCTCTGCTCCCTTTCAGCTTGCAAAAATTACAGCACAATTAAAAAATTATAAAATCTAATATTTCATCTCTGAAGATGTTGCACTCTACATTTACTCCTCAAAACATTTTCTAACCATAGTGATAAGTAGATAATTTAGTGGATTCTATTTCCAACTCTAGCTAAATATATTGTTTTCATAAAAAGATGACATTGCGCTTGTGAGGTAAAAAGAAAAAAACATCTCAAACCACTTTTTTGATCTAATCAACACTTATAGAAAAATATATTTTATGGGATATTATATCTCTATCCTCAACAAGGAAACCGGGGACAATTCAACACATCACAATGCAAAGCGATCCGATCAGAAAGTTATAACAGAGTATCAATCATTTAACATTTCATCTGAGTATATTATATACATCAGAGGTGTCAGTGTATACTTCAAGGTCTAGAACAACATTATAAATTCCATTTCATAAATGTCATTGAGACAGTATTCATTCTTATTAACACACAAAATTGTGAGAAAGATATTCTGAGTGTCATTTTTTAAGAACAGTATAGTTAAACACTCTGTTTTCTCTAGATCTTGATATCTTTTCTGTATTCAAAGTTTGCTATTTTGAACTGCTGTTTTAAAGGGTTTGAGTAGCGCTGCAATACTACTCACCGATGCATTTGTGTATATGTACCCCTCTCAATCGGTCATTGAAGACTGATGTGTGTGATCACAAATTTGTGATTGATTTCTGTTGTTAAATGGTCTACTATGTTCAGTGTGCGAGCCGTCCCTATTGCTATCGCATGTTTGATATGTTGAATAAACTGATGCAATAAACCTCATATCTCACAGACTTGGAAGTTGATCTACATCAAAGTTAATGTTGTTGATAGAAAAGGTTGCAGACTTATTCTGAAATTACATGACCTGTAGTCATGTGAGGGGTGATGACAGTGTGAAGAGTGAATAGTAGAAGATAGTATATAGTGTAGTGGAAGATAATAATAATAATAATTATAGTAGTAGTATAGTTGAAGTTGTAGTTGTAGTTGTAGTGGTAGTTGTAGTTGTAGCTAATCGCTGAAGAGGAAAAGAAAGAGAAAGAAGATGTGCGAAATACATGCATCCATATATATATACATATAGAAATAGTGGTAGCGAGAGTATAATGGAAAGAGGTAAGAATAGACGAAGATATAAACAAAGATAATATAATAATAAGGAAATAATAAACGAGTGCATTACAAGTCAATCTTTATTGTGTATCATTAACATTTAAGTAGTATCGGATAAAAATGTCGCTGCTCACCTTGTTGAGTTGTTATCATATCATTACTACCAAGTGAATTTGTGTGCGTGGTGACAGGATCTAACTTTATCAATATCAGATGTAAAACAGAAAAGTTTCTTTTAATCTTGAAATAGCTGCTCTCTGTTTGATGCTATTGAAGATGCTGAGCTTTTGACCCTGTGCTCTCTTTTTCCAAAAGAGTTGAGAGTTCCTCTCTGGTCGGCGGGCGCAGATTCCGATAAGCTTGAAACTAATTCTTGAAACATATCATATATATTTAAAGACTCCTCTTTTTCTAAAGATTGCAGCGTTTGAAGTATTTTAGAAGATAGCAAAGATATTCACTCAGTGTACATATCGTCAATTATGAAATCGAATATGCCGTCTGACATGCCTTCAGACGTCTTCCAACTCGACGGTGGAAGGGCCATTGCTCATATAAAAATAATGTGAGAATGCTGGGAACAGAGCACCTCACATCTTATATGAGTGTGTTTTTTTCTTCATTTAACTTGCTGTAATAGGCGCAACGGAGATATCTATATTAGGAAATAGATACGTGGCGATAGATACGTGGCGATGGCAATATTATCTATATAATGCTTGCTGATATCCGTGGATTTTAGGAGATCAGCGATTAGCTTTGAACAATAGAGATTGCTACCTTCTTAATATCCTTTGTGCGTACTTCACACTACTCTCGTAATTACTCTTGTAGCCCATTTCTTACACTTGCTCAGAATTCAAATCTGAGTCTTTGAAGTTGATGTAAATAAATGCAAGATTCCTCCTCAGATTCATCAAGATAGATGAAATTATTGATTGATAATTTTTTATATTTTGAATTTGATTTGTGATAGTGATGTCTTCATTTCTTTAATGATTTAATTTAATAATCATTGCATTAACAACTGCTCAGATTGAATTCATTCTTCTGCTCAATTTTCAAAACTCATTTCACTGATTCTTTGTTAATTGAATCTTTCTATCTGTAAGTTTCAACAACATCGATTCCGTTCGGGCTGCTAGTGTCTTGAATTGTGATAAAAACTAAATCAGCAGACATGGTAACTATAAATCAACAAGTATAAAGATTTTATAGAGTTTTATAAAGAGTTCTATATACATCTCTGCTTGTGATTTTATTTGTAGCCTGCATGCTCATTCAAACCAGAGTAGTGCAAACTTTGAGTTCATACAAATTGAATCACATGAGCGGAGTCACACTATAACATGTCCTGGTAAGATAAAAACTTATTTCAATGCCTAGATTAAGAATGATATAGTATTGAATTGAATGTAAAGCTCAATGAGTGGCTGAAACATTGATGAACATTGAATCAATTCAGAGCTTGTATTTGCAAATGTTTTGTATCAATTGAAATATTGTTTTTCAATTTCAAAAATGTGATCACAGTTCTGTATCTGTTATTGACTAGTTCTAACTGCAAGTCATATCTCTTATCACTTTGCACATTGTCACCTGCATGATCGTCATCCGCAGGTGAATCTGGTATAGCAAAAACAGGGCACCTCACAAAGACTTGTTCAAGTTTACTTCACCAGGAAGAGTCACACCATAACATGCCCCGGAAATCGATGCTTTAAACTGAAATATGCACATAACCAAGCACTGGGATAGCATTATTGACCACCCATTCTGCTGAATCCCTGCAAGCAAGGCGGTGAGATGAGGTATTAAGCCTATTCATCTTCTCTGTTGCCCGCATCCTCTTGTTAGTTGCCTGGTCAACTTGTACTGATGGATGAAAGGTGGTGCGCAAGTACAAGTTTCACATGTAGAGAAAGTCACTGGCGTTTTGTTTGACGAGAATTTGGAGCTTCCCTTCTCGGCAGGCGGACTGGGACGGATTTCTACATATCTTCCCCGGCTCTCATGTTTGTGGAGGTCGCTCGTCAGGTATTCTACCTGTGAGGACTAATGCGCTTTATTCTTTCTTTGTTCTTCGTGTTTCTCTATCGGTAATTGTATCTGATGACAACGCGGCTTGTTATAACGCTGAATCTCGATGAGATCCGCCTTGTTTGATTTTTCTGTCGTAGTTCAATAATTGATGGAAGTTAGTCAAACTTTGTAAACATCGCTAGTCATATATCAACGGGAAGTGTGGAGGGAGTACTGTAGATGTCATATGAATCTCCCCTCTGGAACGATCGTGAGAGACCGCACCGTTTACAAGATACGTTGGCTGAGCTAGTGGCCGGCTCGGGGCCTACGAACAGATCCATCTCCAGAGGGGAACATTAGCATAGACCAGAGGATCTGAAGACATATAAAGCCAGCTCTCCTCTCACCTTGTTTCCATCGCTTGATCTTCCCTTTTCTTCTCGTAAAGTACCGCAGATTTCTCTATGGCGTCTAAGATTCAAAACTCAGTCCAGAACAAACCAATGGCACCTGATATCCAGACTGATAGCTCCCATGGCCAAATTCTACCCAAGAAGAAGTCAAAATGGTCCTCAGAAGAAGATGTCCGGATCATCAAGCTTCGGGGGCGCGGAATGAGTTGGGAAGATATCAGCAAGAAATTTCCCGGGCGAAGTGCAATCAGCTGTCGCCTGCACTACCAGAATTACCTCGAGAGGCGGGGTGAGTGGAGCGAGGATCGCAAGACCAAGCTAGCATTGTTATATGAAAGGTAAAAATGGTGTGATCTCTGATGATAACAGGCTAGCCTACTGACAGAGCAAGCAGATTCAAGTCGGGAATGTGGGCGAAAATTGCAGAGGAGATGGCCATCCCCTGGAGGGCTGCTGAAGCTATGCACTGGCAGCTTGGAGAACAGGAAATGGCGAGACGAGCTGGAACAGTTCCGTTCTCATTCTCACAGCCCGCATCAGAACCTCCCCAAGCATCATGTTCAGTTTCCATTCAGCTCCCTTCCATTGCAGAGTTCGACGCCGGAGTCCCAGCATATAGAAGTGATCCATCAAATTCCACAGAATTGAACTGCAGCCACACAGATACTCTCCCAGCAACGGGTCCTTCAGCGGGGAATTGGACATGGATGGCGTGATTATCACCGCAGTGGCTTAATACCAATAATAACCATACCACTGGGGGTTCGATACCGCAGCATTCGATGTATGTCTCTGGATAGATGTCGAAGGCTAATCAGACAATGGTTATAGTTCCGGGGTATGTTGATGGCCTGTATTTATTCTTGGGTCCCACCATGGGAGACCGGTTTGTATGGATCTTCCCGGCTTCCATGTTCGTGGTAATTGTATCTGATGATGATGCTGCCTGTTATAGTGAGAGGATGGTTCTCGATAATGATGTGATCTTCTTGTGAAAGTCCCGCCATTTTGATGGTTTAAAGGATTCTTATGTTGGTGTTAGGTTCACTAGGAGTTGTAAGGGGAGAAAGTTGCGGTTGGTATGCTAATTTTATGTGATGAATGGGAAGCAAACACGGGAACAAAAATGCAGAATTGTTAGGAAATTATGATGTATGATATGTGCGAGAGAAGATAGCTCGCTGGGAAGGTATACATAATCAAAGGGAGGATTATGGTCAAAGGGTTGATCCGGCTTGGCTTTGATGCAGAACGCGAATGTGGGAACGGATAGAGCTGCCGAGCAAGGAACCAGGTGGAGAACAATCCTTTTCGATCGCGACGGAATGGTAATAAATGATAATCGTATTTTGAGGAGGCCGGCTATTCCCATTTAGGATTAAGGTTTACTCAATCAAATCTCTATCACCTAATGAGACAATGCTAACCCCATCTTTGTTCTTGAATGGCTATTAGATTTGAAATCCATCATTCTTCACACTTGATTTAGAATAGCCCGGTCAATCTTTGGATCTCTAGGTTCAGCTGTTGTTAAGGTCGGCTGGAATTAAAGGGCCGTGCCGGCTTCCAGAACTTGAAGCGTTTCTATAACCCTTAAACCCTTAGGAACTCGACTGGAACGTAGCAAGACACCTCGTCCAAAAGAAGAATACAAAGTACGATACAATGAAAAGAAGGCCCAGAAAGTTTATTCGGAAATTCTTGAGAACTACCCTCGCATTTTCATTCCTTTCATACTGGCCATTCAACCAAGAGCTTGCCAGTGCTTTGATCTGGAAAAATTTCGCCAACATGACCTGACACACAGGATTGACCTCGGAAATGACGTTCGAGCAATGTTAGGAAGTATAGCTCAGAAAGGAGGGTTCAATCGAAACCCTCTGTATAAGCTATTGATGGAGTCGCTCTTCCCTCACGGTTCGTCCAAAATTTCTTGTCAGCGATCTTCAGCCCGCTAACCTGCAGCAAGTCTCTTATCGGACGCAAAAACCAATCACCAGTGCAGAGACTAATGATTATTGGGCCTACCAAGCGGCTGATTTGAAGGCTCTTCGCAATATCTTCGGCGATGATATTTACCACAGCATCGAGAAATCTCCTACGCGGATACTCGAAGCGGAATGTCAAACGCTTCAGACAACAGTGCGACCAGGAGCCAGCATGGATGATACTCAGATTGAAGCGTGTCTGAACAAGGAAGTTTATGAGATAAGGAGAGTAGGTTGGACAGCGTGCTCAAGCAAGGAGCTCTCTTAGGCTAGGAATACCCTTCCACTTCAATACAGGTGTAGTGAAATTAGTGAAACAAAAATCCGTTACCGTGGAGTACAGGCGCGAGAATTACAATGTCACCAAAGGAAATTATGAGGA